CAAAGTAGAGATATATATAAGTTAGACAAACTTCAAAGATTAAAAAGTGTATTAACTAGGGAAAGGAATAACGAGGAGAGGATAGGTATAACTATATAATAGGTTAGACTAACTCCCTATACTATAAACTATTTGTAACTATGATTAATGTATTAATAAGATAATATTTTCCATGATGGTATAAAAATAATATAATCATTCAATATTATATAAATGTAAGTTCTAATTATAAAGGATAAAGTAATACTTAATGGTTAAAGGATAAAATAATAAAGTTTAAAAAGTTTTAAGTAGTGTTAAATATATTCATTTTTAGTTGTGTTAACGGTGTAGTTTGGAAAGTTAATGGTCTAATGTTTAATGTGGTTTGAACAGTCTAGCATTAATAGGTTTAGAATTAAGGTTATGAGTTCCATGAAAGCGTAAATGGCCCAATGTTCAATATTTTGTAATAGTTTTATTGTAGGCTTAAGTATATATGGTTTAATGGTTATACTAGGCTTATAGTTCCAATTAAAAGAATTTATAGATGTTTATCAGCAAATAACAGAGAGGATAACAAGATATATTTACATATCGAAGGTTTATAAGATCATTATTATAAATTAAACTTGTAAGAAACATATAATTAATATTTATCCTTATAAAGGTATTATGATATACAATTATTAACTATATTGATCTACCTTATTTTATTAGCTCAGACTTTGAGCAATAGTTACTTTAAAAATAATTTGAAATAATGATTCTATGAGATGTTACTATCCATATCATTGATCTAGTTTAAAGATAGGACCTCGGCTTAGGGGCCTAGTTAATCGGAGTTTAAACTTATAAAAATATTTATATTATTTAGTTAAGGGAGATTTATACCATTAAACCTTCTATCCTTTCTATTCCAAGTTAAAAGGGAAATATAAAACTTTATAATATTTATAATTGTAGAACCATTAAGATTAGGATATTAATTAACTATAATTATAGTGGAGAGAAATAGATATAGACATCTAGTAAAAGATCCAAGGATAAAGAGAAAAAGGAAATATAATAATTTGTAGTTCACCCTTCACTTATAAAAAGACCTATTAAGAATATAAAGATTATAAAATGGTAGTTTTACTTTATAAGTTATTCAATAAACTTTAGACCAATATAATAATTCAAATATTAAGATAATTATACTGATTCAAGTTCATATATCACCATTAAAATAAAGAATAATGTATAAAGTGTTGTTGGGGTCTTTATGAGTTAGAACTCCTAAGTATTAACTACTATTGATAGTATAAAACCTTACTTCGTAACTATAACTTTGGTATGATCTATAATTTTAGGATGATATTTTTATTAAGGTTTATGGTAATCCGTACTTATATACCTACTAGAACCAATATCAGAATATCTAGCTAAAATATATTGTAACTAGTACCTCTAAGACCTAATTGCATTTAAACATTTTAGTTAATGGTTTTATTATGGTTACACTTATAAAAATCCTCCTCCCTTTTCCATTATGTATTTTGTCTCCACCCACCATAATTCACATTTTTATTATCAATATTGGTATTTTTAATATTAAAAATGAAAGACCTTCTTTTCGGGAACCACTAATAATAAGACTAGATATTAATTCCCTTTATAAACAATTATCTAGAATTGTCCGATGACTTTAAAAAGTTATATATTTGGAAACTAGCATTACAAACTTTACTGAAGCTATTTATAATCTGAGATTCCATTAACTTTACTGATAGATTATTATAATATTATTAACCAAAATAGGCCTATAGTAAGATTATAACTAACAGAAATGATCACCTAAATCTAATTCTCTTTTATTATAGTCTAACTTCTTATAACTTTAACTATTATTTTTTATTGCTTATCGTATAATAGTTTTTCTTGATATTTCACTTTTAATATATTATCTCATGAATCGGTAATGATATATTAAAATATTTTATAATTTTTATAATTTTTAAAGATTTGTAAAAGTAAAACATAAAGTGCTAGATTAAATATCATCAAAGATAGAAAATATATCTATAATATCATAAATGCTGTTAAAAGAAAAAGGATAAATGGACAGACTTAAGTAATACTTTAAGGGGTAAAGCATCATTAAAAATATTTTTAAAAAATTATGAGAAATTAGTATTAGGCATCGATACATATATAAAAGCAAATAAAAGGACAACAGTACCAGCAAAATTCATTTTAATGGGGATGGAGAGTGATTTACTAATAGGGATTGAGTTCGGTTGTATAATAAAAGAAACTATAAAATCGCCTTCAGAGATAAGTGGAACAGATTTAGTGATGAGAATGGGTTATAGCATAATAATATAAAGTTGAGATGATAGCTCAGAAGGTAGGGATAGACATAAAATGTGATAATTTTTTATATAACGTGGGAAGGTGGGATAATAAAACATTGGTAAAAAGGAGAGAGTAAAATAAGATAGGAATTAGTAAGGATAGACCTCTCAACTAACTTCGATTGAAACGGTAATAAGGCCAGTATCTGTAACTATTAAACTATAAAGCTTAGCTTACCGTAAATACTATCCAGCTCATTATAATTAATAGACCTCTCAGGAACTGGTTTACGCCTGGCTAGTTCCGTATAAAGAAAAATGTATTCCGTAGCACCTACATAAAATATTCAGAGCAAACTAGTGAGGTATTAAATATAAGTTATATTATGGTCTAATCCAGCATTCCGATCAGAAATTCCATAATAAAATTGAAAATAAAAGTTATCAGAATTA